TTAACCTGTGGGATCCGATGCTATGCCCAGCCAGTGTCAGAACTGAAAGGACTGCTGGCTGATGTCCTCTACAGATCTGATGGTGTGCGTGCCGGTGGGGTGAAATCCCCAAACCTTTTGAGGTCACCTCAATTCATAAGTCTCAGTTCAGGAACCAGTCACAACACCATAGTAAATATATGTAAACTTTTGAGAGGACAAGACTTCAGAGTTAGGGAGATGTATGGTAAAATCAAAATTGCTTTTTTCTTTACTAATGAACCAATGAACTATGGATAACTTAACGAACCTATCTTAAATTTGGTATACTTACCTAAAAGCAAATAGAAATGGATAACCACAGGGCCTATCCTAATAGGCTGTTATCAAAATTAAGATACACCTTAGGTATAACATTAGTATATACCTATCCTTAATAAAGCTTAGTCACTGCTTTTGCTAAAATAATTGTTTGCATCTTTAAGTAAAAAACCTCATCATATCACATGCAGTAGTTCCCTAGGCAACAGAAGGCACTGGAATGCACTGATCACAATTCATGACCCCTATATAGTAAAGCTATAACACAACAATATATCTAAAATTCTGAAATACCCATAGACTAGAAAAAGGTAACTGCTGATTGAAAATTGCATGTTTGCAACATTATAAACAGATAACATCTAGAATTGCATGGACTCCAAAAAATTTTCCATTAAAGTTACATTCTATTCCATTTAGACCAAAGTGCACATGCATATAGAGTATAAAAATTCAAAATATGCAAACTGCTTGGTCACAAAAATAGTCCCTTTTTAAAGAAGTCATTGATTGTAACTAAGATTGGAGGTAAACATCTAAAAACTGAGTTCCCTATTGCCTGGAATATTAAATCAAATCTCATTTCACTATTATGCTCAGGAAGAAAGCTGTAATTCTCCACTACACATCACAACCCACGTTGCTTCGGGCATTCTTAGCAGAGACTATTCATCGTCTAGAGTGGGAGCCAGCAAGCTACAGTGCATGGATCAACTCCAGCCCACTCAAGAGACAGCAAAGGCAAGCTCCCACAGAGTTGAAGACACTTCCTTCATGTAAGCAACGGAACACAGTAACAACTCTGGAGTCCGTCTGGCCTCCAGTCAGCCAGACCTAAGAACCTCTGGGTTCTTAGGCAAAGACTCTGCCACCCTAAACCTCATCAGTCTCCTCATTTATATGAGAAATAACAACAGCAAGTATCTCAAGGGGTACTGTGAAACTTGGTCAAATACAACTGGTTAGCATATTATACCGGATACTGTAAGCACTCAATAAATAAAGTCCCTGTGGTGGTAGGAGCTAACAGTCAATCTCTATAGAAAAATACCTAACTATGTAGCCACTGGGAGAAAAAGCCTCAATAGGCTTAAAATAACATACACTCAACATTCAGCATTTATCAATGTTCTTTTCTTAAATAATTTATATTTGCTCTCAAGGTTGTTACTGAAAGATTTTTAATTCAAAACAAATGAACAAAAGACAGTAATATTTATGTCAAGTATGTACCAGACAGGATCTTTTTTCAAAATATATTTATTTGTTCTACTAAGTAATGCATAACAGCAGAATGCATTTTGACACATCATACATAAATGGAGTATAACTTCTCATTTGTCTTTACCAGGAGCTTTGATTAATCTCCTCCCTTTTCAATTTCTCCACATGAAACAGAAATACTTCCTGTGTCTCTTAGCAAGTGACAAAACCACAATCCATAAATATACAGGTGAAGTCACAGTTTCTCCCATCATATCCAAAAAGGGTTACAATACCCCTCCTCCACTTCAGAAAATCACATGTGGCTGAGGCCCACAGCTAGTGATTCCTCCCATAGAATGAAGACAATGTAACATGTTAAATCTTAATTAAATCAAATTCTCCGTTATGAAGCAGGAAACAGATGACAAATTATTAAAGCTATTATTTCTTAATTTTCTTCTTTTTTCTTACATAATATAATCAAAATTATTAATTTTAACAAATTATAGAATTTGACAGTAAACCAAGCAGTAAGTCATACAGCAGACATCTAAAGGGAACACACTGACCTTGTGTCCGATGGGATCGAATAATACTCATGGAGCTAATCCAGTCTGGTGATATCTTTGATACTAAGGAGTATAACACCTCCAGGCTGGTAGCATCCACCACAAGGATTTCAGGGTAATGTCCATGGCATAAAAGTCTTCCTTCTCGCTGACTTCCAACAGAGAATTGGTAGAACTATATTCATGTTAAAAGGAAAAAGGATTTTTAAAGGTCCCTTTTTAGCTCAGATACTTAAATGAATAGCATTCATCAAGCTTACTATGATATTTTCCTAAATACTAAACTCTTCCAGTAATATTTTCATGTAAGTACTATATAGTTCATATTAAATGTGTGTAGTACAAACATAAAAATACATCAATTTCTATTAATAATTTTAAACATATAACAAAACTTATTCTTTTCCTAGCCTTGTATCCTCCGTTTTGAACTGTTTGGGGGCAGAATTCATGATAATTCTTTCTTTTATTCTCATAACTAGCATCTAAAACAGAATTTTTTGAGTTAACGTGCAAAGCACCTGAATAACTCCAGCTTCACAAATCAAATCAAGAGTAGCTCAGGTGGGTCACAAAAACAAAATACAAATTCTAAATGAATGGTAAGAGGTGAGTACAGGCTTATAATTACTAAGTATAACTAAATAAATCTAAAGTAAAGGATAATTGACATGCTAATAATCAGAATTAGATTCCAATTAAACGAAGTGTTATTTCAGATAAGTGTATAAGAAAACTGTATAAATACAGCATGCATTTACACTTTGTAGAAGAAAAAATAGCAGAAGAATCAATATAATCCTGATCCATGTTCCACTAATACCAATAACTACTAATACCAATAACTAGCAATAACTACTCAAGAGGCTAGATGGTTTTCCACCAACCACAGAGTAGAGGAAGAATATCTATCAAAACAAGACCAATACATATCAAAGGACCTGTCTTCCCTCAGCCTCAAAAAACAGGCAACTCTTTAGTGGACTCAATCTCCTAGAGGATTTTTACAGGTGAAGACATTTCTGGACTTCTAAATGAATCACAGGAGCATAAGCAAGGCAAAGCACAGAGGCCAATGTTGTAACTACTCCACACTATGAAATCCTGGGTCCAGTCTGCCTCACACTCTTTAATCCTATTCTCAGAACTTGACGTTGTTATACAGGAATACACTCTTATCTTAATTGTGGAGTACCTATATGCAAAGGAGTACAACTCTGATGTTGCACAAAAGAGTAAACATTGATCCTGGAACAAATCAACTAAATGTAAGGTAGCACCTCTAAAACAGGGGTGAGGTTATGGAGGTGTGGTGGCTAATCAAATGCAGATTACCACAGTGGGCAGCTCTAGATCTCAGAAGTTCAATCCAAAACACAACACAGCAAAGGAGATTCCCAGGGACTGCCAAGCAGCACAACAGAAAAATGCCACAGTAGAAAAAGAAAAGAAAAGAAAGAAAGAAAAATGCCACAGTAATTAGCCTTGAACTCCATAAGGGGAGGATGTAGCAAGGTGGAAAGGCAAGGTGCAGTGAAGCAATCTGTCAGTATTCATCCACCACCAGCAAGGAGAGATGTGCACTACAGCCACTAGAGAGGGACTCCCTCCTGAGGGTGGGATACTTTATTAGAATTGCCTGGCTAAACAACTCCCACCTTTTGCTGTAAAGTCAAATTCAAACACTCGATCTTCTAATTCAACTTCCATAACACTTTGATACTAGCAAAGAAAGTATCCTAAATGGAGAAGCAAGTTTTTCACACATTAAAAAAAAAAAAAAAGAATGTCCCACATAGTAATTTAATAAACTGGCAATGCCTTGTGAGTTCAGTTAAGTGTCAATGTCACCAAAGTTTATCATCTCTGAGGATATAAAAAAAGTACTTTCTTCTGAATTGCAAAGGAAACTGCTACCACACTAGTAAATTTTCCACAAAGTGTCTTCTATTTAGAGATGGCAGCCAATCTAAATATAGAAGGGCTAATATGGGATTTGAAAAATAGCAGGCACTGAAAATATGTTGAACAAAACAGATAATTTTCCATAATATGTAAGACGAAAGTTTTTAAAACATAAATCAAAACTGTACGACAGTCAAAATAATTGTTAAAATTAAACTAAGTTATAAAATCAATGAATCTACATCATTTTATTCCCACTTTTCTGTCTACATACCTTATCGATTCCTCACATGATAAAAATAAATATATGCCTTTTAAATAAAAAGCACATACCCTAAAAACATTGATGAAGCTATTTCTTAAATTTGCCAGGGCAATAGATAGCCAGGGAAGACCCCACATCACACTGATCACCACCTCCCCACAAACATTTTCCTTTACTTTTAAATTTTGTTGGAGCACCTTCCGGATTAATTTTGTTAGTTTGTTTTAAGGGAGGCAATGTGATGCAAGGGCAGGACGCAGTGTCCAGAGTCAGACAAATCTGATGAGGAATCTTAGCGCCAGGAATGACTCACTGTGACGCGTGGGCAAGTCATTTTATCACTCTAGGCTTCAGCATCCTTTTACGTAAATTGATACATTCCAAATTTAATTTTTAAGGATGCAGGGAAGATTAAATGAAACACAATACAGGAAACTCCTCTAAGTAGTACCTCAAGAAATGAGGTACTACTCATTTCTTGAGGTACCACTCTCTTCTTCTTCCTTTCCTTCCCCAATGAGAAAATGATTGATCATATTTCCTATATACCTCATAATATTCTCAACTCTCAATATAGTAGACAACAAAGAAACTGAAGCAGAGAGATATTAAATTATAAAAAAGAATACCAGGAATACATGTCAGAAGTTACAAGTTCCTGTGTAATACTCTACATATTGAGCCAGGTGTACGAAATAGTCATTTCTTTTGACAGAGTTGGGAAGTATTTAAAATGAGCTCAAAGGCCAAACCTAGTGCTTACTTCAACAGCACATATACTAAAACTGGAACGATGCTGAGAAGATTTGCATAGCCCCTACACAAAGATGACACGTGAAATCCTGAAGCACTCCATATGTTTTGCTCCAGGCTTGGGATTCAAGCAGTGGGAGTCCTGCTTCTCAGCCAGGTGGGTGTAAGAGGGAAAATTCATTGGAATTCAGTATCAGGCAGTCAGTGTTTCTTGGAGACTCAGAAATATAGTATCATTGAACAAGGAACAAGAAAGTACATTGGAGCCAAATCGATAGTGGCCCTGGCCATGATGCTGGTTCACCGCAGATGGGAGGGATAACAGAGAAACACAACAGACAAATTTGAGATGGAAAAAACTTTAGATCAGAAACGCAGCCTGAACTTAGCGGATCCACAAGCTGCACAACAAAGTGGTGTCTGAAAAGTGCTCTGCATTTCTCAACTGGCAACTGGAAAGCTGAGGAGGGAGCCATCTCGAGGCAGCCACTGTGCAGCTGCTGCTGCAGGAGCAACATTGCATCACACCAAGCATTGCCATGTTGCCCCTGCAAGCACCTTGCAGGAGGCCTAGGGTATACCTGGAATATAAGTGAAACAAGCACACACCAGATTGTACCTATGGGGATTCAAGCCAAAAAGACAGGGGAGTGCAACTCACTTTCCCTTTGAGTCTGGTGGCTCCCATGACCCGCTGAAGAGTCAGGAAACTGAACAGAGGGGTGAATTGGGGAGCAAGTAGAATTCCTGGGAGGCTCCTGAGTTCCAGAATCCCCACAGACACTGGCATCAGCCTGGCCCTGGGGTATGTTGATTTAATCTCTCCAGAGCTAGGCTCCCTCACCACTCCAGCCAAAAATTAAAAAAAAAAAAAAAAAAGTTAAGCCTGATAGATCTAAGTCCTAGCTGTTTTAACTTCTCTCTTAGAACTCTGCAGGCCCACCCTGGGAATGCATCTGTCTAAACTGTCGAGACAAAACTCCAACCAACAGGACTTCCCATTCTGTCCTACCTTATACTGATGAGAAGAGAAGCTGAGAGCCATTTCAACCAGCTTCAGTTTTAGGCCACTCAAAGCTAGCAGCTCAGAGAACAACACAAAAAGAGGAAGAGGAAGGGGTTAACAACCCTCAGCCCTTGCGCTCCCTCTCTCTGTACATAGCCCAAGAAGAAATGGAAAGGACGGACAGGCATAAGCAGGGACCGTCCACCCTTATTAACTGTTTTGACTACCACAGGGCAATGGACAAAATTCTTTCATTATGAATTGCTGAGAGCCATTGCCAAGTAGGAATGACACATCAAAATTTTCTTGTCAGCCTACCCCATGTTACTTAGAGGAAGGACTCTCCATTGTGGAAATGGGCTTGTCTTAGACTCAGGTCATTTGCAGTGACATTGCATGCATGCTTGAGTAAGGTGACCTTGCTCAAGGACCAGGGCGGATCCCGGTTTAGAGCTGATCAGGTTTTAGGGAGTATCCCATGCTTGGGTTTAGGGCGGTTCCAGGTTTAAGGTGTACCCTGCTGGGAATAGGGCGTATCCTGCTGCCTCAGGCGCCCTGCTCCTTGAGTTCCCCTTGAGTTGAGCAGGATTCAGAGAGTATTTGGGATTCAGAACGTGATTTTCCCCAGAACGTGTGCAGCGTGCTGGTGTGAGTTCGGGAATAAAGAATTGCTGTTTTGAATCTACAAGGCTGTGAGTGGCTCGTGATTTTGTGCCCAGCCAGACTGCGGCAATGAATCTTTTATCCGGGCTGGGATTGTGGCTCAGTGGTACAGTGCTTGCCTAGCATGTGTGAGGCACTCACTGGGTTCAATCCTCAGCACCACATAAAAAATAAAGAAAGAAAGAAAGAAAGATATCGTGTCCACCTACAACTAAAAAAATTTTTTTTAAAAAGAATCTTTTATCCTTTTTTTCTCTCTTTTTCTTTTTGTGTTCTTGCTGTGTTGATTTGTTTGTAGGTATATACATATTTATTTCTTTTCCTTTCTCAGTTTTAGTATTTTTTGTGTTTTGTTTTGTACAATAGCTATTCTTCCTTGTCTTTTAAGGGTTAGGGCTTTTGGTTTATCTATTTTGACTTTGTTTCATTTTTGTTTGCTTTTCTTGTTTATCTTTCTCTCCATTATTCTGCTAACAGCTGAGTTCTCTCGTTTCCTATTTCTCTCTCCTTTACTTGGGTTTTTCTATTATCCCTCCTCCTTCTCTATAACCACACCAGATACATCTCTTCTGCATTATCTCTGTTCATATTTTGAACACTCTGAACTCTCTTCTACCTTCCTATCACATTTTCTTTTCTCTTGATAAACTTCATTTTATCATCTGTTAGAACTGTTAGGTCTATATTACTCCACCCACTCATGTTGTTGCAGTTATTGGTGCTGTGGATGACACAGTTGACTTCTGCTGTGCATTTAACTACCAGACTTGGTTCGTGGCTATTTATTGTTTTTTGCTAACAACTGGTAACCCCTCCATTCCTATTTTCATGGTAATCACTGTTGGGAACGCCATAGTAGGCACCCGGTATTTATTTTAATGCTGTATATTGTTTGCCTTCATTGCTGCTGTTGTTTCTTTCTCCTTTTTCTGTGCAGTGCTGGGAATCTGCAGGGATACTACAAGTTCACAGGGCAAAGACTCTGCTGCTAAACTAAACCCAGCCAAAAGACTGTTCACCTTGTTCTACATACAAATTCGCCTCACTCAAATGTCAATTGTACTTTAATAGAAAGAACAGAAGAAACATAACCCCAAACTAACGATCAGGCCCCAAATAGGAACAGCCAGCAAGGGAAGGGGTCAGGTTCTACTCCTGGACATTCGTTCCTACAACAAAAACAGAATTAAAACAAAGGTGGTGGACATCACATCTTCAGTGGGGTCTTAATCTACATAACTCTAGAACACTGGCAAAAGGAGGCTGGGCCCTAGAAAGATCCACACGTAAGAGTGAAAGACTCATCTATCCCAATACATGTACAAAACCCAACACAGGAAAACAAGAAAAAGCAAGGTAACATGATGCCACCTAAAGTTCATAATTCAACAGCAACGAACTCCAAAGACATTGAAGTGAATGAAATATCAGATAAAGAATTCAAAAGCATGCTTATAAAAATGATCAAAGAATTCATAATTTCTCATTCAGCTGGTTTGTTGGAGTATAGAAATGTAACTGATTTATAGGTGTCATTTTTTTACCTTTCTACTTTGCTGAATTAACTTGTAAGTTCTAGAAGTTTTCTGGTGGAGTTTTTTGGGTCTTCTAAATATAGAATCATGTCATTGGCAAACAGAGAAAGTTTGAGCTCTTCTTTTTCTGTTCACACTCCCTTAATGTCTTTCTTTTGCCTAATGTTCTGGCAACAGTTTCAAGAACTATGTTGACTAGAAGTGGTGAAAGTGTAGATCTCAAAAAGCAAAATCAATAATCAATAAATGGCATGGTATCAAATTAAAAGCTTCTTCACAGCAAAGGAAACAAGAGCATGAAGAGAGAGCCTACAGAATGGGAGAAAATCTTTGTCACCTGCACCTCAGATAGGACATTAATTCCCAGGATATATAAAGAAGTTAAAAAAAAAAAAACACTTTAAAAAAATAACCCAATCAATAAAACCAAAAGAAGTGAACAGATACTTCTCAGAATAAGAAATACAAATGGTTGACAAATATATGAAGAAAAGTTCAACACTTCTAGCAATTAAAAAAATGCAAATTAAAACTACACTGAGATTTCATCTCACTCCAATCAGAATGGCAATTATCAAAAATACAAGTAACAAAAAAATGTTGGTGAGGTTAGGGAGAAAAGGTACACTCATACATTGCTGGTGGGTCTGCAAATTTTTGGTGCAACCACTATGGAAAGCAATATGGAGATTCCTCAAAATGCTAGGAATGGAACCACAATTTGACCCAGCTATCCCACCCCTTAGTATATATCCAAAGGATTTTAAATCAGCATTCTATAGTGTCGCAACCGCATCAATGTTTATAGCAGCTCAATTCATAATAGCTAGGCTATGGAGTCAACCTAGGTGCCCTTCAACAAATGAATGGATAAAGAAAATTTGATATACATACACAAAGGAATATTACTCAGCCATGAAGAAGAATGACTTTATGACATTTGCCAGTAAATGGCTGGATCTGGAGACTATCAAGCTATGTGAAATAAGCCAATCTCAAAAGGCCAAAGATCAAATGTTTCCATTGATATGTGGAAGCTAACTCACAATAGAGGGGAAAGAGGACTAGATATTCAGTAGATTAAATAAAAGGGAAAGAAAGGAAGGGAAAGGGTATAGGAAAAGAAAAGAAGAGAATTAATTCAGAATAATTTTCCTATTTACATACACAAAATATACCATAGTAAATCCCACCACTGTGTACATCCAAAAGAATGGGGTCCTAATTAGAATAAGATATATTCCATGCTTGTAAAGTTTATCAAAATGAATTCTACTGCCACATATAAATAAAAAGAACCAATAAAAAAATGATTAAAGAATTTCAAGAGAACACAGAAAAAAAACTGAAAAGTGAGAAATTAAATGATAGAGATTTTTTTTTTCTTGGTATCAGGGATTGAACCTAGGGGAACTTAACCACTAAGTTACATACCCAACCCTTTTTATTTCTTATTTTGTGATAGGGTCTCATTAAGTTGCTTAGGGTCTCGCTAAGTTCCTGAAGTGGCTTTGAATTCATAATCCTCTTATGTCAGACTCCAAAGTCACTGGGATTATAGGCATACAGCATCACACCCAGCAATGGAGACAGAGATATTGAAAAAGAACTAAATAGAAATCTTGGGGAAAAAAACAATAATTTTTTTTTTTAATGTTAAGTTAAAAGACTCTCTAATAGAGTAGACCATACTGAAGACAGAATTTCAGAGCTGGCAGATGAAGTGGCCAGCCTTGAACATTCACATAGTATTAAAGCAAAGAAAATAAGTAAACATGGCTGGGCACAGTGCACACCTGTAATCTCAGCAGCCCAGGAGGCTGAGGCAGCAGGATCCCTGGTACCTCAAAAATAAGTAAACAAACAAACAAACAAACATGATCAGAATATACAAGAACTCTGAAA